GCTTTTCACTTTTATTATCCTTTATGTGCGATTTCACACCTACAATTGCACAGAGCCAAGCAGGAGCCAAGCAGCAGCTAGCAGCCAACAGCCAGCAGCTTGCCACACGTAGCAGCAAATCAAAATCTTGAATTTATTCCACATACGAAGCGCATGAATTTCAAATTACTGTGGGAACACCCACATAAACATACACACGCAGGAATACTGACCCGGCTGTACCACAACTCGAACCTCTGAACTGGGAACTGGTAACTGGTAACTGGTAACTGGGAACCTCGTGGCTCTGGCTCTTTGGTGGAACGTGTGCAACACGTTATGTGGCAGCAACATACCGCAAGGTGCTGCAGCCACTCGTTCTCCATCCCCATCTTGTCCAAGATAATGACTGCTCGGTGTTCGTGTCTCAAAATTTTTAAAGTTTCTCACCTTTTCGTTTCGTTTCGTTTCTTCCCCGCAGCAGCTGCTTGTCTGAGTTTTTCCCTTGGCTTGACTTTTCCCAGTCCACGACCAGGCGGGCATTAGGAAGAGACAAGGATTCAAGGGAGTTTATCCCTGCACCTTTGCCAGTGTCAAATACTGCGAATGGCCACAAAGAGGCCAGCGAATACATACGAAATGCGTGAGGAAATACAAAGCGAGTGGCAGGACTGGGTGGCGGAAAAAGCCAAACGACTCATTTGAAATTCATGCGGCCACTCACTGGGTGCATAAAGCAATCAAATCAACCACAAAACACCAACACCAACACCAACACCAACACCAACATCACACACTCAGTCGGGCACTCGGGCACATATACTTGGAGATTTTGTTGCTCTTCCTTGGGAGATTTTTCCATTCGTTTTGCCCTTTTCCACGCCTCTTTCCTGCTCTCCTCTGCTGCTCCGTCGGTTTCATACACGTTTCACTCGTGTAAATAATAAATAAGCTAAGCAGCTTTTTGTGGCGTGTAAAACGTTTCACTCGCCCCTCGCTCACCTCCAGTCGGAGGAGGAAGTGGCCCAGGCAGGCTATCGATTGCCCAAATCTCAACCCAAAGACAAAGACGAGAAGCCTAAAGAAAAGCGAAAGTTTACCACTTTTCCAACCCTTTGCGACGTCTCTCTCCACTGCTGCCTTCCGTCCGGATCCCTCCATCCATGATTTATGCATGACCCAGAGGAGGTCGAAGGGGCCTTAGAATGGGGAGTGGTGGGGCGGAGGCGGAGGAGGAGCTGCTGGGCAAAGCTGTTCCAGATTTGCATGCGAATTGTCCAAGCTGGATTCATTGGCTTTGGGGCTGATTTAGGCCAGCGTTTACCAGTAAATACTTTGTGCCCATTGTTCAGGGCTCTGGTTCTTAAAGGGTTAACATATTCATATCGTAATGAGACTTTAAAAGGTTCTTTAAAGGTTCTGCTGCTGATTTGGTTGATAGATCGTGTCCAATTAGCGAATTAATATAATCCGTTGTATGTCCAAATTATGCTATAATACCAGGGTTTTCCCATTTCCCATTTTCCTCTTCCATGCTTCCTTTGTCTGTGTCAAATCAATTAGCAAGTGCAATTAATGAAGCGCAGTGGACAAAAATAGGGACCCAAAAAGAGGAGAGGAAACGGAAAAGCACACACCGACTGCACATAGAAAAAGATATTTCTGCATTGGTCAGCTGGGGGTGGGGAGAGGGAGGTGGAAAAGCACCCAGCAATTTGTCTTTTCCATCAATTATTTAGACACAGAGGCAAAAATAATGATGACGGTGGCAGGGAAAGATGGGGGCCTGATGGGGGCGATGCAGAAATTCAGATGCGGGAAAGTTGGCGGGTATCAAATTTAGAGGGGCAAGGGGGGAGGTGGCTAGCGAAACAACAGCTTCAACTATTGGTAGTTAATTAATTGAATTCGGTTCAGTAACGTGTTGCAGACGTCTGCAGTTGCAGCCCAACTTTGGCCCCGCCGAAAGGAGAGGCGGAAATGTGGGGTCAAGTTGCGTAACAAGTTTGGCGCATAAAGTCATTAAAGTTTTCTGATTCCATTTGGCTGGCGTCTTATCCCTTTTATCCGTTTCGCCTCTTCTCTTTTTAATTCCAACTTTCTAAGCTTACAAATTAATGATGCTTTCCAAAAGGGGTGGCCAAAGTTTGGCCAGCAGACGGGAGCCATAAAAATATCGTTATACCTGACAGAGGGAAGCCTCCGGAATGGTTATGCTTCACTTAAAGGGTAGCGTTTTTGAAAAGCGAGTGCTCAGCGGAAAACATTTAAAAACATTGTCAACAGAATGCGGGTCGTCCTCTGCACGCCGGATGTGTGCCCCCATAAGTATGCTAAGTTGGCGAAAAATCCTCGTTAACGCGGAGGCTTTTATCAGTCAGAAAACGTGAGTAATAACTCGTTTCACTCTCGTTTTAAAGGTTTAAAGGATTTTGTATCTCATATCGTATGAAATACGACTTTCTGCCAGAAACATAAGCCACTTGGCGGTCGTCGGTTCCTATTTATTCTCGATTTCTCGATTTGTTTGTATATGTCTATATAGCTTATAGAGTTCTTGTTGGCCGAAGAGAAGTACAGAAGGGTGTCCAGTATGTAGGTTTCTTTCCAGAATCGCTCATTTGAGTGGTGTACGATGATGGTGTATGTAAGCCGAGCGAATTAAGTTCGAGTTATTTTATGATTGCATTAAAGGGAAATGGTAAGGAATACGTGGCGCTGTCACTACAGCTCAAATTCGCCCTCTGTTTTCCCTGCGCGCTCCATTAATTTAGAAACGTAAAACCAACGCACACACACAACGCACAATCCCCCTTTGAGCCCCTCCTCGGCCACGCCCCTTTGATTGGTCACGTGCCTTGCACACCCCCCCTGCCTGTCCCCGTCCATCCGGCTTTCGGCTTCAATTCGTTGTGATTGCTTTGTATCGATTACAAAATGCATTACAACATTTGCCACATGATAAATAACACTCGGTAAACGGGATGAACAGCCTCGAGAGGCGGGTGGGCGTGGCTGCACTTGAAATTAATGGGTCAGATACTGTGACATCCTTCGAGTCGAGCTTCCCTTGATGGGATTACGAAACGTTTTTGCTGAGTGTATGTCCAAATTACTTGTGATGGCTTTTATTCTCCTTGGATATTCGCACTGCTTGTCCAGTGTGACCAAGCGCCATTAATAAGAAATAAGAGCCACCCAACTGCTTGCCACTGCACTACCCACTACCCCCCACTTAACCCCCAGCGGACGTTGCAAGGGCATTCACCCACACGTGCCTGGAACTTGGCTGGCACTATCACCCCACCATTGCGATTCTTCGAAAGAAATAAAATGCAATTGCGTGATTATTGAACGATTTGTATCAATTTACGAAAGGGAAAGGAGAGAGGCGGAGGACGGAGGGTTAACAACTGCCGCTGCTGCCCCACAAATGTTTATTTATGCATTTCACTTGCTTATGTTATTACAACTCCTCTCGGAGCAGTGCTCGGTGGAGGGGTGGGGGAATGATTATTGATATCAGTAACCACACATGTTCAACCCCGACAGACAGCCTTCTCCCCCAAATGGAAACTTGTGGCAAATACAAACCTCCGGGGACGATTGCAGCTTAAGACATTTGTCGCAACGTGCGAAAAGTTTTCCCGTACAAGTGTCTCTCTCGTTCCCCTTCCCCTTCCCCTTTCCCTTCCTCATACACTTGTTAGCTTCTCAAGTTTATTAAAGTGGCATAAAAGTGTCATTGGCGTCTAATGGCCAACGATTAGCTGGAAAGGAGCCAAATCCCTAAGCCCCCGGAACGACTCCGAAACTAAGTTCGCCGAGAGGCCATTTTAGTGGGAATTAATCCGGAAGTTCAAGTATTTGGCTCATATATATCACTTCTGTTGGATATTTAACTCGGGAAAGAAAAGAGCCTTTAAAGAAAATCCAAGAATATTTTTACGTGTAAATCGCCTTGCATTAACTCGTAACTCCTCCCTCCCTTCGTGCACTCCCCGTGGCATAGCATCTTATCGGCGTTAAACTTGGCTTCTTTAATGGCTCGAGAAGAAAGTTCTCTCGGGGTTATGGGTTTCGTCTTGGGGGAAACTTATTGAAAAGTCATAAAAATCTTAAAATACAAAAATGGCTTGTGGAAAGGCTCCTCCTCTGGCTCCTTAGCTCGCTCGCTCGCTCCAACAACATAAACTGGGAAAGCCACCAAATTGTTTTCCCCCTTCGCCACCATCAACCCACCCCTTTTTGCCAATCATTTAACACGCTCTCGATTTTTATTTTAATGACATCTTGGCAAAGTTGCCCTTATGGCTTGGGTCGGAACACTTGGGCGAGGACATAATGGAGCCTGCAGATAGATTCGGGTCCTTAAACTCCTTGGCTCCCGTCGGAAACCCTCGAAGGCTGTGCAAATTTGTTCGCAGGCGTCACAAGCTGCTCCTGGACTGCATATCCTGCAAGCTACTGCTGTGTGTCCTGTGTGTTAATGATCATCATGAATATTCCGGCACTTGTTTGTTTGTTTGCCCTCGCCGGTTTGCTCAGCCAAAATGTTAATATATGACCAGCCTACCCCAGTCCCGCCCAGAACTAAACTAAACTAAACCCTGCGGCACTCACTCGCCCAGCGCCAGCGAGGAAGAGGTCCTGCTAAATATTTGATTAACTTTCCTGTGTTCACTGAGTGTGTGTGTGTGTGTATGGCTGTGTGTGTGTGCGGAATCAACTTAATTAAAGTTAAACAAGCAGCTAATCAAATTTTTATTACACAGTCTTAGCCACAAGAACCCTTTAGCCTCCCCGTCTCCGCCATCTCCTCCCCCGCTGCCTGCAAAACGTGGCGTAATTTCATTTTAAAAATGCATACTCCAAAGGGGCCACGTGCAACTCGCAGAGGAGTCCACCTCCTCCTCCACCACCTCCGCCACTGCCACAGCCGAAGAATTGTCTTCCCGTTTTTCTCCTCCTCCCTTTTTCGCGTGTGTGCACCTGTGTCCCAAAGTAGTGCTTCTAGCAGATTGAAATGGAAAATTCGTTTTTATTTTCGCTGGTATTTAGTAGAGAGTCCAAGACTTAGTCTAGCTTTCGTTATCATTCAGGGTCTGGATAGCAAGGATCTTCCAGAAGTCGAGGGTGCACTATTAGACGGAGCTCCCCCTGGTCTATCGACGAATTTTCCATTTTGCTGGAGAGCTCAGGATAGAAATTCTTTTGACATGACTTAGAAGTTACGTCGCCTTGGTAGACCGACATCCCTGATCGCCAACAGAGGGCTCTTTGAGCCACCAGGCTGTCCACCGGGAGGAAGTGCGATCCTCGTAGTCCTCCATAGCGCAGAGTTCCTCCTCGCCGGCCCAGGAGCTCAGGGTGCTCGATGTGGCATTTCTGTGGGGCAAGGCCATCAGACTGGGACTCATGCTGTACAGCGAAGGCTGGCTGGTGGTCACCTGGCAGGAGAGTGAGGGTGGTAGGTCGCATAGCTGGATCTCGGAGTGGTAGCTATTCGGCTGCTGGTGCTGTTCTGGGGGCTTCTGCATTTCCTGGCAGGATTTCGGAGAGGAGCAGCCGCAGCAGCCAAGCGAGAGGAGAAGGCACATGTCTCTGTGTGGCGAAAGAAAGCCAAAGAGGAGTTAAGAGGAATGCAATCAGATCAAAGAACTTACAGTAATCGTTTAGATTTCTTGCTTATTACTGGGCTGGGACTGGTTGGTCACCCAATACTTGGGCTCTCACTTGATTCGCTGGGAGCCTCCAACTGGGCAACACAGCCCAGCGCTGTTTGCTTTTATAGCTGGCAATCACGACAACCAATATCCGCCTATCCACGAGCCAAGTGTTTGGGTACAGTTGTGTTCGCTGTTTGCTGTTCGTTGGAAACGCGCTGGTCTGGCCAGTGTGGCCAGCCAAACCCCTTAGAAATCAGTTGGAACCCCACGGCACCCTCGAACAACTGTTTTTGGGGACTGACAGACCTGGCATTATGCAAAATGATGTCACTTATGTTAATTTCAAAAATGCCCTAGACTCCACTCCACAGCCCACATGAATGCATAGTGCACATTATCGGGACTACCGAAAGGTAGCTGGCGAGGAAAAAGCGGCAGCCAGACGACTACCTATTGTATTACCAATTTGCGAATGCAAATCAGAGCCAAAGCGCGAATTTCACACCAGTCTCGTATTGAATTTAAAGAGCCTGACATGCGACGCTCACATCAAAGCCTCATGCTGCTGGCTGTGATGGCTGTGAAACGGGAGCTGGATATGCGGCGAGGAAACCGATGACACCGAGTGTCGATTATTGATGGGTCGTGGGATGGCATCTGGTTCCGATGCTTAAATGATTCTGGGATTCCTGAAGCCACTGGTGACTGCTGATAGTCAACCGACTGATCCACAATGGCTGGCCGATCTTCGTTGATACGCCACTTCAGCCATAAGACCAACAGTAACCAAGATTCCCCACGGCCTGACACTCCAGAGAGTCCAACCTTTGTAAGCCCAACTTTACCATATGATGGGTGAGTTTTCGAGGGCCAGCTGCTGGGGGCTGTTTGCTTATCCGACTTTACGACTTCAGAGAGGTCCCTCCTTCGCCTTCGCCTCTGCTTCTAACTTCAATTTCAATTAGTATTGCATACTTTCCAGCGGGTCCCCGGCCAAAAAGTTTCCGCACTAATGAGTTTTGTAATTATACGAAAGTTGAAACTGAATACAAAATCCGAAAAGAAAAATCTCCCGCCTTGGCAGCGTGTGGCCGGGGTTTTATTTTCACATTTCACATTTCACATTTATACTTCTTGAATGATTCGCGCGCGCGGGCTTAGCAATTGTAAAGCGATAATAACCCGCGGCGGGGGGCGGGGTGAAATGGGTGAAAGTACCCGGAATTGCTTCTTTTCAATGCAAAACAGTTTGCCATCATGATAAACAAGCAGTGCTTCCATCCTGTTCTATCCCATCCATTATTCGTTCAACAATTGAGAAATTCTATTTGTACATTTTTAGGTTTCGTTAGGGACTGAACCCTGATAGCAGCTCTTTAAGCAGATTGACTTTAAAGGCAGAGATAATTTGGCTTTAAAATGGATTTGTTACTTCTAATACCTGATATAATTCAGTTTCTATATAGAAGTATATACCCCCTAGACATCTCCGAACTCAACGAACGCAACCTGTGTGTCATATCTTTCCCAGTCTATGTGCCCTTCTAGTCCGGGATTCTCCACATTGCCTTCCCTTTGGTGGCAAACTAGAAAAATATCAATGTCATTTACAGTCCCTTGGCCGAAATTGGGGATTGTTCCGGGAAAAACGCAGGGGGAAGTGACTATGTCAGTTACTCGTGTAATGTTAGATGTGTTGCGTCTGTTCTGCTGAGGAGCTCGGGTTCCGGTGCCCTGGGTACCGGGTTCCGGGGATTGGAATTTCCCCGTTGCTCCCTTGGTCAGCCGCATCATTGCGGTTTCAGAACTGCATTTTTCGCTATTCCCATTTGGAGTGTTTGTTTATGTGTGTGCGTGTTTGTGTCCGCATTTGAGGAGTTCCAGAGAGAAGTAGTGCCGACTAGAAAGTCATACCCAATGGAAAGTAGAGTTGAAACCTAAGGTTGTAGTTGGTTTTAGCGATCGGAAGGAGTTAGATCTTCCAAATGCCAAAGCAAACCTATGCCTGCATGTAATAGAGGTCTTCCAGGGGGTGGCAGAAGTAGCAGTTAGAAAGTTGCAGGGTATCTGCTAGTCTAATGGCTGTCTAAGCTCCCACTTTTTATTTTGGTTATTTTTTCTGCCTGGTCTGTGTATAGTTTGCTCTGATCTGGTGGTCCGCGACAAGCCAAGCGCGTAACCGCAAAACAGACGCGCAGCAGCACACTGGGTGAATGGACATGGGGTGGGGGGTGGTTGGGCAGATGGACGCCCACTCACGCAGTTCCATTTTCAATTTGCAGTGCATACTTTTCGGGTTTTCGGGCTTTCTCGGTTTCTATGCCAATCTGCGTTTCTCATTCGCCCGCTTCACTCCACTTTTTTATAACCACCCACCGCCCAGAACTCCCGTTTTTTATCCTGAGCACCCTGACAACAACAACAACAACAACCATCTACCCCCTTTGGACGTGGGCCTCCTTTTTGGCCACTGCCTCTGTATTTTGCTTCTGTGGTCATGCCCACTTGATGCGTATTTAATTAACGTTAATTGAAATTGATTTATGTATGCAGCGTGCGTACAGCCCCCCTGCCTCCCCCTCTGCCACCCTTCCGTGTACCATGTACCGTGTACCGCCTGCCCCCAACCCCCCTGCGGAATATGCTGCCTGAAATTGAGATTGGAGATTGGGGAGGCTGAAAAGCGGCTGAAATTCGGGGGTTGACTCAATTGACAAATTTTCGGCATATTGAAGCATGAAAAATTTTGCGTTTTGGGTTCATTAAATTGATTAAACAAAATGCAAACAGACATTTTTCGGATTGCTTGCTCGAAGGGATGAAAGAGCCGTGGAAAAGGGAAATTGGTTATCCGATATGTGCGAGGAAGAGTGCAAAATTTGTAGAAAGCAATGCGGAAATTACATAACCGTATCCAATTTTACATTTCCACCAAAATTAATGCGCAGAAAAGAGCCAAGGAATAAAAAGGAGCTTTCGATGAGCAGGATTTGGGCAGTGTTGTGCCCATAGCTAGGCCAATAATGGTCAGAATGTGGAATATAATACCTTGGTGAGCTCGTAATTTGATTTCCATCAAAACTGCATCCGCACCTTAAAAGGTAAAATTATTGCCATTCTTATGAAATTTTGATGATGTTACCCCTTACAGAAAATCCAAAAATTAGTGAAAATTTCAAATTCACAAATCATGAAACGAATGATGAGGAAAGTTTGTTGGGGTCGTCGTTAGCTGCTCAAAACTGTCTTTATATTAGCTCTGAGTCTTCCTTTGACCAAGTTGTAGGTATAAAACCGATAAAATCTATGATCAATTTCTGTCGAAACGCATAATCCTGATTTTGGCCCCAAAATAAGAAGAATTCTTCCTATAACAAAGCCAATAATTGTCGGAATGTAGAATGCCATACATTGATGAACTCGTGATTAAAATTCCAATCGAACTGTGTCCCCACCTCAAATTGTAAAATGTTGCCATTTTTCTGAAATTTTGATGATGATTTACAAAAAATTCAAAAATTAGTTAAAAATTCAAACTCACAAAATCGCTAAACCAATGATAAGGAAAGTTTGTTGGGGTCGTAAGCTTCACAAAACTGTCTTTACATTAGCTCTGAGCCTTCATTTGACTGAGTTGTAGGTATAAATCCGACCAAAACTATGCTAATTTTCTGGCGAAACGCATAATCCTGATTCTGGGCTCAAAATATGAAGAATTCTTCCTATAACAAAGCCAATAATTGTCGGAATGTAGAATGTGATATAGCGTTGAATTCGTAATTAAAATTCCAATCGAACTGTGTCCCCACCTTAAAATGTAAAATTTTGCCGGTTTTCTTAAATTTTGATGATGTTACCCCTTACAGAAAATGCAAAAAAATGTCAAAAAATTAATTTGCCAAAATCAACAAACTAATGATGAGGAAAGTTTGTTGGGGTCGTAAGCTTCACAAAACAGTCGTTCTTTCAGTTCTGCGTCTTGTTTTGACCAAGTTATAGGCATAAAACCAATCGAAACTATAGACATTTTCTGTCGAAACTCGTAATCCTAATTGCTGCTCAAAAATATTTCGAATTATTCTCATAAGAAAGCCAATAATTGTCGAAATATGGAGTGGCATACATCGTTGAATTCGTAATTAAAAATCCAATCGAACTGTGTCCCCACCTCAAAATGTTAAATTTTTGCCATTTTTATCAATTTTGATGATGTGTCGAAAATTCGAAATTCGATTACCTCTGATTTTCTGCTCAAAATTTCTGCATTTTGTCTATAACTAAGCCAATAATGGTCCGAATTTTGAAGGAAATATCTCGTTGAGCTTGTTTTCTAATTCCTAACAAATTTGCATTCAAGGTTGAAAATGTAAAATTTCTGTCGTTTTTCGCAAAAATAGATCTTCCTAACCTCAATCGGAAATACACAATTTTGTTGGTCTCATTACCCTCAAAAAATATTAGACTTTTCCTCATAACTAAGCCAATAATTGTGGGAATATGGAATGTCATATATCGTTGAAGTCGTAATGAAAATTCCAATCGAACTGTATCCCCACCTCAAAATGTCAAAATTTTGCCGTTTTTGTAATTTTGATGAAAACAGAAAAGCAAAAAATTGCTAAAAATTAAAGTTGACAAAATCATCAAACCAGTGATAAAGAAAGTTTGTTGTGGTTAAAAGCTGCTCAAAACTGTCTTTCTTTAAGTTCTGAGCCTTGTTTTTGCCAAGTTATAGGCATAAAACCGATGAAAATAGTCCCATTATCTGCCGAAACTCAAAATGCTGATTGTTACCCAAAAATAATCAGAATTATTCTCATAACAAAGCCAATAACTGTCGGAATATGAAATGTGATACATCGTTGATCTCGTAATTAAAATTCCTATCAAACTGTGTTCACAGTTTAAAACGTAAATTTTTTTTCCATTTTTTGGAAATTTTGATGATGTTCTCGAAAATGCAAAATTTAGATTTCCTTTATTTCCCCCCACAATGTGAGTATTTTGCTCATATATAAGCCAATAGTTGTCGGAATATAAAATGTCATACATCACTGAATTCGTAATTAAAATTCTA